AAAAAACCCAGTGGGCTCCCCCAAAGTCCACGGTATAGTTTGAACACTGGGCTTATGGAAGGGAGGGGTTTGCTCCGAACTTGCTAGGAACGAATCGTTTCGAAATCATTGGCAAATGACTCTAATATTAAATGTTTTCTGACCTTAGATGCATTTAAACCTGTTGTAGGGGACTCCAACACAATATTAGGACTCTTTAAAATACCATATGACCTGCTCTTTAAAAAAATCTTACTGACACCAAACCTTTGAACGTTCTTGTAAATCAGCTTAATCAGGCTGTAAACTTCCTGGGGTTTTTCCCCTTTGGCCATCCTCTGTTGACATAACCAGGAACTGGATGCATTAACTGAACATTAACATTAACTGAAAAAACATTAACTGAATCATCCACCAGTTCTCCGTGTATCTCCAATGACAGTTCCTTCCTGATTAGGTGCACTGTGTCAGGATTAAAAGAAAATAAGAGAGAGCGTAGGATGTGTATTTATACTTCTGGTTTGTTTAATAAGCAATCCGATACGAGAGATCAGATGCTACATCTACGCTAATATTAATTTCTTTAATAAATCTTGTGTAGCCTCACAGTTTTTTTGTGTTTTAGGAGGGTTCAATGTATTTACCCTACATTTTCACAATCATCTTCAGTCATAAACTACTTTGGATTTCTTTCATTCTTTAGGTGAAGGTAAATATTCTCGGCGACGTGATCGATCAGGGCTCCACCAACCTGCAGATCGACTCGGTCGGCTTCAGCCCTCACGCTGCCATCTACTCCGTGAGACCCGACGTGCGCTGCGTCATTCACATACGCACACCAGCCACTGCTGCTGTAAGTTTCCGTCCAGTCCCACCTGCTTCTGCTCCATATGCACTATCACCAATTTCAAAGCAATATGTAGCTTATATTGAAATTATGACTGTTTTTGTAAATCACCATGACTTGCATTAATCTCTTATGCCATGTCAGGTGTCGTCTATGAAGTGCGGCCTTCTGCCCATCTCTCAGGAGGCTCTGATCCTGGGTGACATTGCATATTACAACTACCAAGGCAGTCTGGATGAGCAAGAGGAGCGCATAGAGCTCCAGAAAGCCCTCGGACCATCAACGAAGGTAAACTACCTCCACAATTCAGTACTTGCCATTGAGAATGAAAGTGTAAAGGGCAGTTAAGGTTGTAAATGTGCAAGATAATTACGTATGTGTTGTGTGTGTTGCAGGTGTTGGTTTTAAGGAATCATGGGGTTGTAGCTCTCGGGGAGACCATTGAAGAGGCCTTTCACTACATTTACAACGCTCAGTTTGCCTGTGAAATACAAGTAAAACTTTCTTAATTCTTGTAGACTTTCACAGTTTATTTATTGGATTTTAGTGATGCTTTTTAAACACAAAATACAAATGGCTAACAGAATATAGCCCATACTAGACTGACTCGCAGGTATTGAATGAAGGGTGAAGAACCACCAAATGTCAAAATACTGTAGCACCAACTTGTCTGAAAAACATATGTTTTTATCATGACAAATTATTATTATTATTATTATTTTCTCTATAAATTTTTCTGAATTCATTTTTTAAAATGTTTTAATTGTTCAGAACTGTTTTAATGATTGATTTACATTTTAGTAATCAAGAACCATGTCTAATTAAATCATGAAACTTCTGCAATTTAACAATTTCTTAAAAATTGAGCGAAAATCACGTTTTTAGGGCCTTATGAAATAAGTTTCTTTGTCAAATTCCGTTTTATTTGTTTGTTTGTTTGTTTTTTTTTACCTAATTCAGTTTTTGTTTTTTTTCAGTTTTTTTTTTTCAGTTTTTTTTTTCTGGATTCCATTTTAATGGTTTAATTAAATAATAAAAAAGCATATCTAATCAATTGCATTCATAAAAACAACTTATTACGTTATTTAAACTTTTAATCAAATGAAAATTTAGCAAACCCTTTTATGGCAAACAAAGTGCTGCCCAACAGATGTTTACTGTTAAAATTAAAACATGGAAGAACAATTGTGTGATTATTCCTTAAAAAAATTGTAGTAGTATATTTCACAATTTCTTCTTCAATGGAACATGCCCCAATAATATTTATCAAGTTCAAAGAATGTTTTATAAAGTTTTATATCCAGAATTGTTAATCCAAAATAAAATGTTTGCATTTATTTTATAATGTTTGTATTGTTTACTAAATCCTGAATCTTTATGTATCTGTAAGCTGATATGGCAGTAAATTTCAATAAAACCAGTACATTTCTGTAAAAATTCAGCACATTTGTTTCTCTGTAGGTGAATGCGTTCTCATGCGCTGGAGGAGTGGAGAACCTGATCGTGTTGGATCTGGAGAAGTATAAACCTCGGACACAGGGGGTGGCAGAAGCCGGGGTCAACATGGGCTCTCAGCACAAGTGGAGGCTGGGAGAGCTGGAGTTCGAGTCGCTCATGAGAATGCTGGACAACCTGGTATGTGCTTGTGTGAGACTCGACTACATTTACTGCCAGTGAGCTCTGTGCCAGTCGTGTCCCAGTGTGATACAGATACAGAGGACAGGTGGATATGAACTCCGATTTAGAGCAAGTAGTTGAGCCAAAAACAGCCAGAAGCATCTGCCAAATGACCACTTACTACTAGTCCAGCTGTGTTTGAGAGGAATAATCACTGCAGAGAGATTGGAAAATAACTTCTTTCTTCATCTTTTAGCCTTTTTCTTTTCCTGCCCTCCTTCCTCTCTCCTATTAGGCAGACGAAAAGAGACAGATATGAAGAGAGAGACAAACTGGAGTTGAAGAGCACTTCTGCCAAAACTGCTCTCTTCTTTCTGTCCGTCTCTTTCTCCAGCTGTGCAGACCTCGCTGTTTTCTCTCTCTCTGTCCGTGTGAGATAAGGCAGAATACAGGCATGTGGAAAGTCTGTTTTCTCAGCCGCGGCAGAAGAATGGAGTGATGTGGAAGATGATAATGATATGGTGTGACGCTCAGTGAGTCGCCGTCACCAGCTTTCAGTGAACCGATACGGCTTACTTGATTCTGCTGGAGAGTTTCAGCTTATGGTTACATAATGCACTTAAAATGCAGATGGACCTTTAAAAAGTGCCTTTTGCAGTTGACTTTTTGTGCAATTTCTTTCTGCCAAGTCAGTTTCCAAGCAGCGGCTCATTATATAAACCAATTAATTTGAATAATTCAGAGTTGAATTATTCATTAAGCTCATTCATAAAAGGCAACTAAATGATTTAAGAATAGGTCTCATCCTTATTCTAGTTACTAGAATTTGACTAGTTTTTTTATACACATTTATTTTTTACTTTCAGGGTTACAGGACAGGCTACACGTACCGGCACCCCATTGTGCGGGAGAAGCCGCGACACAAGAGCGAAGTGGAGATTCCTGCAACAGTGACAGCATTCCTGTTTGACGATGATGATGCTCCACGTTTCCCACTGAAGTTACTGCAGCAGCGACAGCAGAGAGAGAAAACACGCTGGCTCAATTCACCCAACTGTTACATGAAGGTGAACGTGTCGGATGGGGCGAACGAGGAGAACGGACGCACCAAGACCACGGTAAGACTCAGTTCATCTCTGTTATGGTGATCTGGGATGTATGCAGTCCAGTTTTCGGAAGCCTTTTGAATGAAAAAAGGGGATTGCTGTAAAAGTAGTAAATCTTTCTTATCAGAAAGTCCGCCGGTGGATTATGTGAAAGAACAAGAATGTGGTTATTTCCTGGGCATGTACCTAACGGTCTAGCTGCAGATGAAATGAACTCCAATTTTCTGTCATCACAGATAAAGTTTTGAAGCCTCATTACTTTTGTCAGTTGACTGGAGGACTCCACTGCCTTCAAGCCTGATGCCAAACACAGTTCCCTCCTGACCTCTAGTGGTCGAGGCTTTAGTATTAGAGCTTTGCCTGCATTTTTAGGGCCGTGTGAAATTATTCTGGATTTCATTTTAATGGTTAAATTAAATTTATAAAAAGGCATTGATAAAAATGTATATTTAATTGAAATCATGAAACCAATTTATTAAAAGTTTAACAAAAAAAAATATTTTTGGGGCCCTTATAACATCTTTTTTTTTTTTTCAATTCTGTTTTATTTTCCCCAAGTTTTATGTTTTCCATTAAAAAAAATTGTAATTCTATTTTACCAGTTTAATTAAATTTAACTAATAAAAAGGCATGTTTAATTAATTTAAATCATGGAACTTATACAATTTAACAATAATTTATTAAAAGTTGAACAAATATTACGTCTTTAGAGCCCTATGAATTCTGTTTTATTTTAATTTTTTTCAAATTCAGTTTTCTGTTTTTTATTTTCCTGAATTCCATTTTAATGGTTTAATTAAATTTTAATAATCATAAAACATGTTTACTCTAATGCATTCATAAAACTTTTTAAAAATTTGTATCAATTTATTAAACATTTTTATATAGTTATATATTATATAGTCCTATTAAATGCTTTATGTTGTTAGAAATTATTTTATGTTTGTTTAAATTTTCTGGGTTTGACTTAATTCAAATTAAAGGCATAAAACATTAACAATTTAATTAATATTTTAAAATGTAATCAAATGAAAATTTATAGTTATTTAATTTTTTTGTCAAACAAATTGGTGCACTGCCGAGGTTCTCTGTTAAAATTAAAATATAGGGGGGAAATATGATTATAAAATAAAGTGTTAATAATTGTATTATAATATAATTTATTTTGAGATGTACAATCTACTGTACAGTAGTAATATATTTCTGTCTTAAGTTAAACCTAACATTTAATTTGACGGGTTGTTGTGAAGTTTCTGTTTATATATATGATGATAGTTTTTATCAACCGAGCTGGTGAAATGTTACTGAATTTGACTCTCAGAGCATCTCTAGAGATGAAGTTCATGTGTCTCGTCCTCATATAATGAGACTGCAGACACTGAAAACACCACGAGTGTCACGCATGCTTCAGTATGTGTAGTAGACGAAACTTTGCTGTGCTGCACTTTAACCAAGAATGAAATGTCAGACTTGACCAACTCTAGATCTATAGCTCAAAACTAGACATTTGTGCAAATGTTTTCATGGAAAAAATTTGTACTTGGTATGAATGAGTTCAACATTGAGAGAATTTGTTACAACTCTTTCAAATCAGCTGTCACTAGACTTTACGCCAACTCTGAATGCTCTCAGAGGGCTTTAAAATCTCATCCTGTATTTATTTTCGTGAATTCTGTACTAAATCTCTTTTACTCCATCTCTGCAGTGGATGAAGTCAGACGACAGTGGAAACAACAGCGGGACTCCGATCCGCATTGAAGATCCAAATCAGTTTGTTCCTCTGAACACGAACCCCAATGAAGTTCTGGAGAAGAGAAATAAGGTGAGTTATGTGTGCGATCAGACTGTTTAAAGGATCCTTTTCACATTTACGGGGCTCTCTGAAGAAAGCTGGTAACCAAACAGTTGCTGGTAGCCATTGATTTTCATAGTATTTTTTTCCATACAATGGAAGTCAGTGGCTACTGACAACTGTTTGGTGACCAGCTTTTTTCAAAATATGTTATGTTCAACAAAAGAAAGAAACTCATACAGGTTTGGAACAACTTGAGGGTGAGAAAATGATGACAGAATTTTCATTCATTTCATTCATCAAAAAAATTAAAATGTGAAAACTTTACAACTTAACTTTACGTTAATAACTGGAAACGTGATCGCAGTCTGTTAAAAGGTCCATTAGGACTCTTATTCACCATTTCATCTTAAACAGCTTTTTGTGATCTTGTTTCAGATTCGTGAGCAGAACCGGTTTGACATGATGACAGCAGGGCCACAGTCACAGCGGCTGGCAGGGATTGTGGTGGAAAGACCGCCGGTGAGTGTCAGAGCGACATTACCATACACCCAGTGTGAACCCTGAACAGTCAGACTGGTGTCACATGGACGTCCGTGTCACTAGGTGGAGCCAGATCCTCTCAGAGACAGTTGAACTGTGACGCATCACAGTTGTGCTGGGTGAATTGAGCATCAGTATGTAAGGCAAAGGCTTCATGTTTCAAAGCAGGGTCTTATGAAGCTCTGTTTTTCTCTTTAAGGGACAGTCGCCCATTCAGTTAAAATCCCAGGGAGTTTTGTTTGTCGTTATGTCACAATTTTCATTTTTGAAATATCTGTGTGACTCCTTAAATATTGTACTTTTGGATTTGCTGTGTTCTCACTTCATTTTTTTGTTTTTGTGTTTTAATATTAGAGGATTTGTGACTTTTTTCACTTTTGAATGCACAGTGATTAACATGCCTGATGGTCTGTGTTTGTGTGGTTTTTGTCATCGTTATGACTCATTTCATAACTTGAGGTGCGCTTCTAGTGTCTTATTTTGTGTTCTCTGCTCTGCCCACGCACACATGCAGCCGTACATGGGGGATGACGAGGAACAGACGGGACCGCTTCCTCCAAACCCCTTCAGCGAGCTGAATGAGAAAGAGCTGGAGGGCTACCAGAAACGAGTAGAACTTCAGCAGCTCGGATTAGATGGTAAAACACACTCACGAGTCCCTCACACCTTCACTTTACACTAACGTTCAAAGGTTTAGCGTCTGGAAGATTAACAAAAAAACATATCTTTTTATTCAGCGAGGATGCATTAAATTGATCAAATGTAAAGACATTCATAATGTT